TAGTCTGTTGTGATTGGTCTACTCTGCTCTGATTGGTCAGATGACCTAGTCTGTTGTGATTGGTCTACTCTCCTCTGATTGGTCAGATGATCCAGTCTGTTGTGATTGGTCTACTCTACTCTGATTAGTCAGATGACCCAGTCTGTTGTGATTGGTCTACTCTGCTCTGATTGGTCAGATGACCTAGTCTGTTGTGATTGGTCTACTCTGCTCTGATTGGTCAGATGACCTAGTCTGTTGTGATTGGTCTACTCTCCTCTGATTGGTCAGATGATCCAGTCAGTTGTGATTGGTCTACTCTGCTCTGATTAGTCAGATGACCCAGTCTGTTGTGATTGGTCTACTCTGCTCTGATTAGTCAGATGACCCAGTCTGTTGTGATTGGTCTACTCTGCTCTGATTGGTCAGATGACCCAGTCTGTTGTGATTGGTCTACTGTGCTCTGATTAGTCAGATGACCTAGTCTGTTGTGATTGGTCTACTCTGCTCTGATTAGTCAGATGACCCAGTCTGTTGTGATTGGTCTACTCTGCTCTGATTGGTCAGATGACCCAGTCTGTTGTGATTGGTCTACTCTGCTCTGATTGGTTAGATGACCCAGTCTGTTGTGATTGGTCTACTCTACTCTGATTGGTCAGATGACCCAGTCTGTTGTGATTGGTCTACTCTTCTCTGATTGGTCAGATGACCCAGTCTGTTGTGATTGGTCTACTCTGCTCTGATTGGTCAGATGACCCAGTCTGTTGTGATTGGTCTACTCTACTCTGATTGGTCAGATGGCCCAGTCTGTTGTGATTGGTCTACTCTGCTCTGATTGGTCAGATGACCCAGTCTGTTGTGATTGGTCTACTCTGCTCTGATTGGTCAGATGACCCAGTCTGTTGTGATTGGTCTACTGCTTACACTGCGTGTCGGAAACCAAGCGGCCAACGCCATATCTGAATTTCAGCTCCAGATCATCATCAGCACACAGTACACAGTGATGCGAACAGTACCAAAGACGTTGGGTTTTCTGCATCCATTTGATCTTGAGTCCTCATCCTTTGGAAGTAAATGCAAACTGGTTTTGCTTTCACAGCACAGAAAACAGTGTCTTCTCGACATGTCAACAACACAAACCAAAGTCTCAGCTAAAACTACAGTGTTTAAGAGTCAAAGTAGACATTGTTTGCGAGCAGCCAATAAAGACCATAGGCTGGCAATATACACATTTGTTACAAACGTACCTAGGTTTGCTCAGGAAGTAAGACCGAATTACTGATGACTCGTTTCAGGCAGTTCTGCTTTTCCCTGCTTTTTTTGTTTATTTTATTTCTTTCTTCTTCTTTTTTTTTCTTTTTTTTCCCTGATAATGAATTATACTGAATCCACTTTGGGTCAATTGGCAGCAGCACAAAAATCAAACCCAGAATTTGAATGTAATGCAAGGGATTAAAAGTTGACCACCTGTAGGTGTATCAATTCTATTAAACATAATTTGATGTTGTAAGGTGAGAAAGCTGAGTAAGACTAATAACTAAAAAGCAAGAATGATGGCTAAACACATCACATGCAGTCTTGCGATTCAGATATTTGTGAAAACCATGCCTTTGCCTTAATTTGGCTTCTTCTTGTTCTTACTCTTCAGCTTAAGACTGTACAGTAATAATATTGCACTGTCACAACTGTCCTGCTCAACTGCCCTTGTCACATGATCCTATTCTACTGTCCAAAGAGTCAGCCTGGACCTGGCGTCTCCGATTTCCTTCCTGTTTACAAGTCATGGTTTCTGATCCTTTAGGGGTCATAGATCTATTGTATCCCTGAATAGTGGTATCCATGACTGTCCCAGCCCTGTATATCCCAGCAGTGCTGCATGCACCTCATTCACAGCTCTTACGTCTTTGTCAAGCTCATTAATATACACTTGACATTGTTTATTTATTTATGTCACTTTTTTCAGTTCATAAACATGGCAGGATTTTCTTTGACAATGGATTATGAAAATGTTCTAACTATTTCGACAAAAATTGCATTTAGGCAACGCCAATGGTTTTCTGCTCTGGATTTAATCTGGGATTTTTTAGGAGATGATTATCAGATAAATAATAAAATATCAAAACTGCAGCATTAAATGTTCAGGGAATATATTTTGAAACATTGGAAATGACTTTTTTTTTTGCGAAATTAAGTCCAAGCAGAAGCCTCAATCACATGCTTCAGCGGTGGGCGGGACAAACACACAATCGGTAATGCCATTGGCTGAACGCACATATGGTGATTAATATTCATGAGCCTGCCTGACATTAACCTGACAGGAACTGAGCTGCCGCTGACAATATGCAATCTACCTGAGGGAAAATGTGAACAAAAAGAGAAGCCATCTCAGACTTTTGTAAGTTAATGTTGTAAAAGCATAGATGCAATTTTTAATATGTTCTTAATATTCTGAAACCTAAAATTACAAATGGGACACACTATGTTTCCTGATTTTGCTGAGTTAGACCAACATATTTTGTTGATCCTGGAACAACATTCCTCTCCGAAAAATGTGCCTGTGCATTTTATAGTTCCCATACATAATTAATTAACTGATATAATATGCATTGCCAACATATTTCAACTTCAAAAACTGCTTTAAAACATATACTGATAATCATCATCATAATAATAAGGGGTTGTAAAATAAAAGGCCTTGATGGTTTAAAATGCATCAAACTGTCCCTTTAAACTGTAGTGGAGCAGCTGAGCCTAAATTGAGAAGAGATCCACATTTTGGTGGAATGGGATGTATGATATTGAGATTCACAATGCAAATCATGTTATTAATGTCTCTCAACACAATGTTCAATAATATAGAGACAACCATATTTGGTTGATCATTAATCAGAGTGCCTAACCAGAATTTAACAATATTTGTTTACTGTAAAACGCTATCATTGGAATTTTACTCTGAAATCAATGGAGACCATTCTGTCATGACACACACATTTACAGAGAAAAACACAACTTTGAAGTGTTAGAACAGGAAATGACATAACCTACAGCGAATGTGTAGTACATTATTTTATTGTAATGATTGCTGTTACTGTTTTTGGTGAGATCCTGGCGATACCAGCCAGCGCGGGCCTGAAGCAGCAGAGCGCTGTGTGCTAATGTCAGGGTGTGGCGTGTCTGGTGGTCAACATGCTCGCTCTAATTCTAGGTCCTGTTGTGTAATTCTCTGCTATTAAAGTCTACAGTGAGCTGACTGTTTGGAAAACATGCATTTGTGTAGTAAATCCATTGATACACTGGGGTTGAATTACAGTGTATATGGAGCCAGAATTCTCCACCGACATCCTGACTGAGAGCAACCGGAAAAACGTCCAGAACAACTCACTAAACGTGGGTTAGAGGCCATCTATCTATCTATCTATCTATCTATCTATCTATCTATCTATCTATCTATCTATCTATCTATCTATCTATCTATCTATCTATCTATCTATCTATCTATCTATCTATCTATCTATCTATCTATCTATCTATCTATCTATCTATCTATCTATCTATCTAACTATCTATCTAACTATCTATCTGTCCACATCCATCCATCCATCCACATATCTATCTATCTATCTATCTATCTATCTATCTATCTATCTATCTATCTATCTATCTATCTATCTATCTATCTATCTATCTGTCTATCTGTCTATCTATCTATCTATCTATCTATCTATCTATCTATCTATCTATCTATCTATCTATCTAGCCACATCCATCCATCCATTCACATATCTATCTATCTACCTATCTATCTATCTATCTATCTATCTATCTATCTATCTATCTATCTATCTATCTATCTATCTATCTATCTATCTATCTATCTATCTATCTATCTAGCCACATCCATCCATCCATTCACATATCTATCTATCTATCTATCTATCTATCTATCTATCTATCTATCTATCTATCTATCTATCTATCTATCTATCTATCTATCTATCTATCTATCTATCTATCTATCTATCTATCTATCTATCTATCTATCCATCCATCCACATATCCATCCATCCATCCATCCATCCATCCATCCACCCATTTATCCATCCACCCATTTATCCATCCATCCATCCATCCATCCATCCATCCATCCATCCATCCATCCATCCATCCATCCATCCATCCATCCATCCATCCATCCATCCATCCATCCATCCATCCATCCATCCATCCATCCATCCATCCATCCATCCATCCATCCATCCGTCCGTCTGTCTGTCCATCTATCTATAGATTTATGCCACAGGCAAAACTGTGCACGCTAACTCTAAGATGATTGACAGCAGCCATAGTTCTCCTAATAATATTTGCTCACACATTGTCTCTGTGCATTGCGTGCTCAAACTGAATGACTCACTTTATGTGCTCTAGCAGCTAGCTAAGGTAAACACCTAAATTATCAAGCTTTTAGGATTACTTTTGTTGGCATATCATTTTACAACACATTTTATTTCAGCAGTAATAAATTCATTGTTTTAGTTCATTTATCATAAATGTAAAAATATTATTATAATTCTTGTAGCTATTATTAACTCATTATTTTTAATTTCACTACATTTTATTTATATATTCATTACATTGAATTAATGATTTATATAATTTTATTAATACACTGCAATCTTGCATCATCTATCCATATCTGTATCTTGCGATCAGAAATGTGAGTGACTCTTTGTGTATGAGGAGTTTTACATATTATTTTTCGGCACCTTTATGTTTTATTTCTAGCGAACATTTACCATAGGTCATTTACAGTAACTGACACTTTTTTCCAAAGTGAATCCCATCAGTAGCAACATGTTATCACTCATACTGTAATTGTAAAGTTTTATTTTCTGAAGACATTCATCAAACCTCACTGTCTCATTGGGATAGGTGTTATTCCAGGTCTATTGTTCACCTCTTCAATATTTCATAACAGTAATGAAAATAACACAGACAACATTTTAAAGATTTTGATCCGTTTATTTATTTATTTATTTATTTATTTATTCACTTAAATAGTTTTCAGGTAGTTTTACATTTGGTCAATGCCCATGTGCGCCCCTCTACATATTCAAAAATCAAATAAAACCTCTGGAGTGTGTACAGTATACATCTGCATGTGTGTGGACTCTATTGACCGGGGTGGTGTCCCGGGCCGGGAGTAAAAAGAGTCCTGTGTATGGAGTGGCGAGGCTGCTGAACTAAAATGAAATCTGAGTACAAGAGAGGGGTGAGATGTGTACTGATCATTCAGGACAGAACCATCGCCTGGAATTCTGCAAGAGATCAGAGAAACATTTTCATTGACGTGGGACGTAAACCTGCAGATGCTTCAATAAAACAATTTACAGCAGTTATCATAACTCTCTGAATAGTTTAAGCATTTTATTGAATGTGGCAGTGTTCATGTATTTGCTGTGAAATAGACATACATAGATCGTGTAGCTGATATAGGCAGGTGGAGCTGGGGAGGTGGAGGGGTTCAGCAACACTGATCTAGGATATTTGAATGTTGAGCAAGCAATCTCATTGGCTGCAGGATCAGCCAATCAGCTTGTGCCATGTGATAATGATGTGGTAGATTGGACCGATCAGCCTGCGCCCTCTAAAGTTTTACGACTTACCTATACATATCCCACTAAGCATGATTTGGATATTAAAATTGCAACTAACTTTACATAGATGTGAGGTGACAGCTATTCAAATCATGTCAGAAGAATAGCAATCAAATTAAAACTGACTTGCTATTTATTCAGTTAATTGCGAAAGATGGAAATAAAAGCCATAATCACCATCTACTCCGATCTTGCCATCGCTGTCATCGTCGGCTGCTGCTAGGAAAGCCTTGGTCTCCTTATCGGTCAGCACACGAGCACCAGCTGAGAACCGCTGCAAGAAAAACCTGGAGAAAAAGAAAAAAAAAAGAGAGTCGGCTCATGTCCCACATCAGATAATCCCGCTGCCTCGGGAGGCAATACTCTAAATATTGGTAGCTAGAGACAGGGTGCAAAAAAGCAGCTGGAGGATAAAGTGTCTAGCTTAATTCAAAGGCTGAATGCATAAAAACAGACTGTCCTCGGGCAACGTAATCCCTTTCTGTTTATGAACACTTGGAAAGCCCAGGAAAGGCTAAAGTCTGTTGTTAGGGTTGATTCTGCACATATGCCGTTATTAAGTCAAACATCCTAAAAGTTCTTTCATGTTGAAAGAATCAACGTGGCTTTAAATGCGTGTAAAACTCGTGTACTTGAGTTCCTCCTCCTCGATGAATCCACTGGCGTCGTTGTCCAAGATGTTAAAGACATTCTTCACTTCCTGAGGGCTTTTCTTTGTCAGACCGCACAGCTGGAAGAACTTTTTGGGGGTGAATGAGTCTGGAGCTGGAAAAGCAACAACGGAATAACCGATTAAAACACACGTGAAACCTGACACTGGCATTTATGGTAAGGCGCAGCAGAATTGGACTGGGGTGAAATGGATTCGCGCTAAGATCAAAAACATTGCTTGAGGTAAATGAAGTAAAGACTTCAGAAATGAATGCAAATACAGGTTCAATTTCTAATGTGCGGATGAGACACAAACATGCTGAGACAGGAGAGACGGCGGATCCTACCTTGACAGTCCTTGAGCGCACTGTCGATGGCATCAGCGGAAAGAACAGATGACAGTGACATGGTCCTGAAGAAGAAATAATTCACTTATTTTCATATCTCTTCACACTGTAAAAAGTGTTCACTTAGGCTACTTAAAAAAAAGCCTTAAAATGATTAAGACAGTAAACTTAATGCTCAATCAAAAAAATTAAGTTGTCAAGTTCAACTTAATTTTTTTCAGTTAAGCATTACTCATTTCTTTTAAGTAAGTGAACTGAACACTTTTTACAGTGGTACAAAAACCTTTGAATACACAAATCAGCCTGGACTAGATTCAAATAAGTCTCGCCTAGATTAAAACGAAAAAGATGGTCAGCCTGAAACGTTGTTGAGCTAAATGCTTTCCATCAAAATAAATAAATAATCGACTAAAGATACAGGATGACACAACCTCAGCAAAGCATTTTACGTGCTCCTTTTTCCCCCCTTAAATATGTTCTAATGCAATCAAATAAAACCTCTATATGCATGCATTTTCAATGCAATTATTATTACATATAAATCCAATAAAAAGAAAAGAGTAAATGCATGCATTTGAATGCACTTCATTAATGCAATTTTCTTTAAAAAATAAAATAAAAACTGTAGCCTAAATGCATGCTGTTTTAATATAAACCTTGCACACTCATGCAGGTGAAGTTTCCAGCTGAAGCAGCGAACAATATGCCGCCCCACAAAAAAAGAGCTCGGCGTGGTAAAGCTGGGACTCTTACCTCGGTGAAGTTCTCCTGGCAGGTGATTCAACAGAAGTAAGGCTGAGTGGTGACTGCGGGTCGGTCCAGGTGCGATTTATATAGGTCTGAATGCAGTGACAATGGCTAATTCTTGAGTTACCAGTCTGTGGATCAAATTCGAACTGCCAGGCCCTAGCTCAAATTACTTACCTAACTAATTAACCTGTACTATTTATATCTGTTTGACTGTGTGTGTGTGTGGGCCAGCCCTTAGACATCTGTGTGACGCCCTTGTAAAAGGCAAATTAAGTAATAAATGCTTTGCTGTCTACCTGCTCATCACGTCCCTCCCATCCTATATCATAATACAGGCATCACACTCGTTCACCCCTGTCATGCACATCCGATCCTCCTCTCAGGTTGGTCAGCTCCCTCGTTCCCCGCTGCTTTACATGAGGTCATTCCGAATTCCTCATTATAATATTACATAAACACTTTTATATTGCATTGCTGTGGGGAGGGGGACAAATTCCGGGGATGCTCGAAAGCCATCTTTCTTTGATGTTAGCTTTAATTTATCACTTTCCAGATGTCTATTAATTTATAAATCCCATAATCTGCAATGGATTTTTTTTTTTTTTTTGCCATAATCTGCTCCATATTGTCTTTCTGAACAGATGGGAGCATATAATCCACTGCTCACCAGATGCAAAACTAATTCATAGGTATAGCTGTGGACACACACACACAGAGAGAGAGTTTATCCTTCTCATTTCACCCTCCATAGGCAGACAAACAGCGAGCTGTCATTTTTCCTCTGCTGATTCAGGGATTCAAGGTCACCTTTTGACCAGCGCCCAGCAGAACACTGTAATCAATGTTTAAAACGCACCTGCTAGACGCATATATTATGTAAGAGGGTGCAATATGTCCTCAAGTGCAGGAAAAGAAAAAGGAAAGACACTGCTCGCTTAACTTTTTGTCACCAAACCCGCATGTTTCAATTAAATCGAGGTACTGTTTCCATCGGAGCGATGGAGTTACAGACAGCGCATCCTTCATACGCGTGTAACAGATACAGTGGCCATTATTGGTATTGACTTTCCTAGTTATCTCATGATTTAATGGTCATGAACATAAAATGTATTGGTTTAATTTGTTTCAATGACAGATTGTGCAGTTGAATCATGTGCATTATAGCTTTAAGTAGAAATTTTGGGGTCAGAAAGATTTTTTTTTTTTTTAAAGAAAGTAATACTTTTATTCAGCAAGGATGCATTTATTTAATAGATCAAAGGTGACAGTAAAGACATTTATAATGTTACGAAATATGTCTGTTTCAAATAAATGATGTTATTTTGCACTTTCTGTTCATCAAAAAGAATCCTGACAAAAAAAGATCATGGTTTCCACAGAGACATTAAGCTGCATAAACTGTTAAAAATGTATAAGAATAATAAGAAATGTTTCTTGAACATCAAATCATCATATTATAATGGTTTCTGCAGGATCATGTGACACTGAAGACTAGAGTAATGCTGCTTTACTAGACTAAAAATTACATTATAAAATGTATTCAAATAGAAAACATATATTGTAACAATATTTCACAAAATAATATTATTTGACTCTCTTTTTGATCAAATAAATACAGCCTTGTTAAGCATAAGATACTTTAAAAAACATTAAAAAATCTGACTGAAAGTTTTGAATGGTATTTATGTTTGTTTGAACAGGTAAATGCTGTCATTTTTGATCAATGCAGGGGTGCCCAACCCTGCTCCTGCCGATCGACTGTCCTGCACTGTTTATCTCCAACACCCTTATTAAACACACCTGCCTTTAATTTTCAAGTGAGCCTGAAGATCTTAATTGGTTGCTTCAGGTGTGTTTGATTAGGGTTGGAGATGAACTGTACAGGACAGTCGATCGGCAGGAGCAGGGTTGGGCACACATCCTTGCCAAATAAAAGTATGAATTATATATGGCAAGTTTAAATTTGTTTTTATTGAACAATTTTAATGCATCTATTATTATTAAAATTATTATTACTACTATAGCAAATAAGTCCATTTGCAGTCAGCACATCTGCTAGTGTCAGCATCTATAAGCATTTACATTGACCGTCATGTTTGAGCGCATCATCACAAGAGACTGCGTTACTTCATGCTTGCCTGCCTATTGAGTTGCAGGGCGCACATGGCCCATTTAAATGCATTAGGTGGAGGTGTTTGCTGTGACAAGCTTTGGGACAGTCCATGCGTGGGATGGGATAACCCGGCGTGATGCCGCACGGAGAAACCCAAGACCCTGGAGCTGACAAGGACACCGGATACAGAGGTGCCGCTTACCCAGAAACACTGATGTCATGGGCCATGATGATACCTCATATCCTATACGGTTACTAAGCAATCCTTTTATTTATTAATTTACGTTTGCTTATATTCTCTGCAGGCATTAAGCTACACTACGCTTACTGGCCTCTACTAAGGTGTCTGTTTTGGCAACACTCCGCTGGGATTAAGTACGTCTTTAAGTGGTACGATATGCTAGTTACCCTCTGACTCTGACTAGAGGCTAACTAGCGGCTAACTAGCATATCGTGCCACTTTTAGCCTCTACTCTCTCTCTCAAAAGCAAAAAAAAAGCAAAATTGTGTACCTTTATTTAGTGGTACAACAGCAGCATTTAAGGGACATATTTTGTACCGTATCTAACTCTAAAAGGTGCATATAGTAACTTAATAATAATAAAAATAATATAAAATTTATTTTATATAACGCTTTTAAAGCGGGTTCCCAAGGCACTTTACACAATAAAACAGACATAACAATACAAAGCTTAAGAACAGACAGGAATACAAAATAATTAAGACCATAAAGAAAAAGCTAATAAAAAAAAAATATGCCTATACTAATACTAATTTTGCACACATTGCAATTTGTTAAGTGTGGTTTTAGGAACGCCAACAAGAAGTGCATCACAGTAGTCAATGCCGGAACAAAATAAAATATTGATAAGCCTTTCAGTCACAGGAAAAGATGACATAGGGCGAAAAAGTTATTCTTAACAGTATATTGCAAGTGTGGGTCAAAAGACAAACCTCCTGATGAGAGCCAATAAGCATTTTCACTATTAAGACACAAAAAGTTTTGGGTCATCCATGTTTTTATCTCATAAATGCAATGTGAGAGAAAAGAAACATCCACATTTTGACCTGGCAAATCTGAGTATCATCTGCATGGAAGGGATAATTAACCCTGAGTGATCTTAAGAACAATCCGAGAGGAAATACTATATATAAATTCAGAAAAAAGTAAGGGGCCTAAAATCAAACCCTGTTGGACACCAGTAGGGACAGAGCCAATCTCAGACCTGAAACCATTCAAACAAACTGCCGGCGATCAGAGAGATATGATCTAACCCAGGTTAAAACAGTCTCAGAAACACCCAAGACAGTTTCAAGTCTGTTGAGTGGTTGACAGTATTAAAAGATCAAGAAGGATAAGGATGGAGAACGAACCAGAATCTGAAGCTATTAACAGATCATTGGTTAATAGCTGAGCTGTGACCAGAGCTGTCTCTGTACTATAAAGTTGTCAAAAACCAGACTGAAGGTGCTCGAACAGATCATTAAGATCATTGTAGCTTTCCTGTAGCTCAAACAGCAGATCGTTGGCGCTTGCAACGCCAAGGTCATGGGTTCGATTCCCTGGGAAAGCAAGAACTGATAAGAATGTAAATGTGTACCTTGAAATGCAATGTAAGTCGCTTGATAAAAGAGTCTGCCAAACGTATAAAATGTAAATCAAAAGTAAGGTGATTGTGTAGCTGCAAAGCCACAATGCGTTATACATTTTTTTATGCCAGAAATGGAAAGTTTGATATGGGGCGATAATTATTTAAACTGTCTAAATCAACATTATGCTTTTTTTGGAACTGTAACTTAGAGAAGGAATATATGCACTACTATTAAGACGAAACCACTAGCTTTTTACATAAATATTGTACATCAGGATTGCCAGGTCTGCGTAACAAAACTAGCCCAATGGCCAATCAAAAGTAGCCCAACTATAAAAACTCAAAATATGCCATTCCCACATCTAAAATACATATTTTAGAGTCACTGCAAATTGAAAACCAATAGTGATCATAAACGCAGCTCAAGTGCACCAGTGGCCCTGCTTTGCAAAGCTTAACATCTAGAACAGTTTTATCCCTGTGGTTAAAATCAAGTTTTTAATGTTGTTTATGTGTCTATTTGGTGTTTTTGATATGCTTTAAGACACACCATGTGCAAAGTCATAAGTCGACAGCATTGCTGAGTATTTTCTCCTTAAAACTGCAGTGAACCAAAGACAGTCTTAAAAACACGGTTTGAAATCGCTGGTGTTTCTGACGTCACAAACTACCTTGTAACCAATCAGGCCGACGTGTGATCGTCAACCAGTGGATCTCTGAGCTGGTGTGAGTGAGTGGAGGCGGGGCTCATTTGCATATTCATAGAACCGTGTATACTAAATGAGGCAAGGGTGTAGAGTTACATTCCAGCTATTTTAAGGGATTAAGACGTTTTTTTTTCAAGGAAAAAACGTTTCAATATGTAATTTTAGTGATCAAAGGGGAATTGTATTAAAATGATTGACTACAGGTGGGACTTTAAAATATTTCAATACAAGCATTTCAGTCATATTTAATTCATGCAATGTCAAACCTTTAACCCCTGGGTATCAACCCGCAATTTTTTTTCTGACAGTCAGTGTATAAAAAAAAAAAAAAAAAAGAATAATTAGCTACTTATACATTTTTAAAAAGTAAGTAAACATGTGTGCAATATAATGTTTACAATAAGCAATTCATTGTGTCCGGTGTGTGCACTTTCAAAGGAGTTTGAGATGCTTTTCCTACTCATTAACACATTGTAAAGTAATGCCATCTAGTGGACCATTTAACCCAAAACATCACTGTAAAGAAAATGCTGCCTTAAATTCTTGTAAGTCATTTCAACTTACAGTTGAATCTTGTATAACTTCTAAAAATGGTGCTTAACTTATTTTGATGAGTTAAAGCAATCTAATACATATGTTGTCATAACTTATTGATCATACAATTGTGTTGATTTATTGTTGATTTATTTGAACAGGTAAACATTGGCTTGTTAGTGAGTAATTTTCACCTTTGTAATAGTTTCTTAAGTATGAGTCTACAATAAAAAATGCATGTGATCAACCAAACAAACCGGAAATATAATAAATAAGCCATTGATAATAATAATAATATATAAAATCATAGTGTATGGCAGTGATCCCATAGATAAACCTAGCAAATATGTGTATTTTTCATTTTATTTCATGGAAATGTGATTAATATAAACTCTCTCCATACAGCTATCTAGAGTGAAAAGCAGATTTGCAACAAGAAATGAAAAGAAGTCTAGGCTATATTGTAAAAGAATATTTATTCTTTTCTTGTCGTCCGTTCCCGTAAAAGTGCATCAGATTTTACAGTAAGCAAAATTCATATTTAAGACAGGAGACACAACCGCTACATTCAACGGTCATCGTTTTGACAGTGTGCTGCATGGGAGGAAACTTCTCATAAGCATCATGAGTATAAAAATTATTTATAGTAGGATGAAAATGGGAGGTCTTGGGCAAAGTTGTTCCTTCAGAGCTAAAGGTGTTGTTGGTCAGAGGCAATTTTATGCCTTAACCAAGGCAGCGAACTCTGTCGGAAAGAAACAAACAAGCACGTTAAACGTTCAGTCGTGGTTTTCAATCAAATATAATGCATTTTGATATTCTTAGAGCACTTTGAAGCACATTGGGATTGTACTAGAGGTTCCAAGACCGTGTGGAAAGTGTGAAGCCGGCTTAATCTTAAAGGTGACTGACCATCAATCCCGATCTTGCCGTCACCGTCAGCGTCTCCAGCCTTTAGGAAAATCTTGGTCTCTCCGTCAGTCAGTGCCCTGGCACCAGCCTTGAAGTTCTGCAGGAACAGTCTGCCAGCACACGGTTCAGTTTATCAGTACATTCAAGATGCAAGTATTTCTTTATGAGCTCAAAGCTGCTCTTACTTGAGTTCCTCCTCCTCAATGAAGCCACTCTTGTCCTGGTCGATGATTTCAAAAGCCTTCTTGACATCATCGGCGGACTTGGCTGACATGCCGACCTTGGCGAAGAAAGCCTTGTGGTTGAAGGAGTCAGCAGCTGTGTGAGAAATATGGGAAAGAGGTCAATAAATACCCGCGTTTAATGTGTCGAAGATCTGGCGGCTCACGCTGTCTCACCCTTGCATGCCTCCAGTGCTGCAGCGATGTCAGCTTCCTTCAGGCCGAATGCCATCTTTAGCTGAATGATACATAAAACAACATTAAAACATGAAACGCGTGTCGTCACACAGCTGCCCGAAAGCTCGGGTGTGTTTAGTCCAGTCAGTTTGCCTCACATTTGACAGATTACTCAATATAATATAACTTCATATCTGAACATGTATAACATTTCAAGCCATGATTTCATTTTCAACCCATGCAAATCCAGCGAAAAGGGAAACGTGGCTTTGAGTTACGAGGATGTTAAATCCCAAAGGGTCCTTGAGGTCCTCTTAAAATAAGCCAGCATTGCAAACAATCCCACAGCCGATTGAGATGATGAGAAAATTTAGGATGCAAACTTTTCCGTTTCTGCTCCGAAAACAAATCTGGAAGAACCAGTCCTTTTTTTTTTTTCTCCGTAGATAAACTGCAAACTCACCTCTTTTGTCTTTTGGTGCTGAAGGTAGTTTCAGAAGACTCGAGCTGTGAACTGCAGTGGTCTCCGGGCCCCTGATCTCCCCCTTATATACCTTCAGCCACTCCAAATAGGAATCATAATGTAATAGACACCCGCTGGCTGAGGGGGGCGGCTCGACATGCGCCCACCAGACACGCCGTACTATATTTATCCTCAAAAGTGAAGATGCTTAAAAGGTGCGTTTGAAAAAAAAGTCCATCATATACTTGCATGCTAATAATACACGCTGCTGATAGTGCATTGACATATTCCTATGGACACTCGCTCATGGGGTTTGGAAAGAGTATATGAAGGGAAGCTTGCGGGACGCTTTTCAGAGGGACATTTCTGTTTGTGTTCAGGGTATGGACTCTGCTGCGGTTGATTTTGCTTGTATTTCGTGTAAAGTGGTTCGTTTAGTGATAATTTTGCATGTTGTTGTTTGTGTGTGCATATGTTGCTTGTGTTGGATTTTGCCACATTAAACACGTTGTCTGAATTTGTCCTGGTTTTCTTCTGTACCCAAACAGACCAAAAAGAAAATGTAATATTTTAGTTTTGGGTAACTCCAGGATATACTAGTCCGTTATGTTACCTTGACTTACTTTTTCTCCATTTGACATATGGCAAACTTGAATTTACTATAATATATAGTTTATACACTGAGGAAACTAATTTAGTGTAGACAATTTTCACTCAGAAATTGCAAGCAAATTTCACAATTACTTTCAAAGAAATTGCAAGTAACACCATTGATTTGAATGTGAAATTCTGAGGTAGAAAAACTGATAAAAAAAGTGATCTTTCTTTTATTTATGGCTACATCTTTCCCCCATTAAAATTATTACAGCTTTGCCTGTTCTTTTTAGTGTATGTAGGTCTACACTGTACAGTATGAAGTGTGTTAATTCGCCCCTGACAGTTGCATACAGCGTTCAAACAGCAGAGAGCAGCAGTGCTCATCCTGGCTGATGATGGCTCTCTTTCACAGGTCAGAAACCCTTCTGCTTGTTCTACACCGTCGAAAGCTGAACTGTAATAACTGAATTTCGTTTTACATTAGAACTTAAGGCTAACGCCGTGTTTACACCGTCGTTCCATTTCTGACGTAGGCAGAGAAGTAGCGCGAGCTCGTTCCTCGTGTGAGAAGTAGCGCGAGCGCTTGAAGTAGCCTATACGTCAGAAATAGAACGAAACACCATCGTCTGGAATTTATCGTGATTCGTCGCGTCACAACGGCGATGATTAAAATGGGTTCTACTTGCTTTTGTCGCATTGTTTTTGTCCGGTGTAGAAACGGTGTAAATTCTAAATTCTCTATAGCTGTGGTGTCTAAACTCGGTCCCAGAGAGCCTCTGTCCTGCAGAGTTTAGCTCAAACCATGATCGAAATCACCTTTATGCAATTGTCTAGTTACTCTGAAGACTTTGAATAGCTCTCTGTGTGTTTGATTAGGGTTTGAACTAAACTCTGCAGGGACCAGATTTGAGGAACCCCGATCTAAACTTCTAATACGTCAACGATTTGATCACCATTGTGGTTAGGAGAACATTATTACACGAGCATTACCAGTTGCTCTGATGAAATCGTGCCCGTTGGGGGGCGTTTAATGGGATTTGGACGACTGAGCTTGGCTGAGTGTTCGATGAGCTATTCTGAGCATTCGGGACGCTGCCATGGACTCTAATTGGGCATGCGAAAACTATCCTCTGCAAATCCCTTCCAGTGCATCTCAGCAAATCTCCGGGCCTTCCCTCGCCCAGCCTTGTGCCAAGAGCATCCTGCAGGACATCCATGGCTATTGGTGCGTTCAAGTCCTCCTGGGAAGTTCGTATGTACGAGTTGGGAAGTCGTGTTTAGCCACCCAGACATCAACATAGTGTCGGCCCAGATCCGGGCCACGTCTGGTACATGTGGATTCCACGCGTGCCAGATGTGGGCCGGATCAGATGCTATTGGAAATTTCCAAATTCCCACTTCTGAAGTGATTACTTGTCGCATTCAATTGCTTTGTTGTCGTAAATAACACGAATCATGGAGGACACCGGGTTTATTCATGCCGATTATTTGGGAAAATCTGATGATATTTGGCATCCCATTCATTGACAACCATAAACATTCACTACGCTATCAAAAATGATCCCAGAGCTTCCCAGTGGTAAATATATCTTGAGTTCATGTCAAATTTTTAACAATGAAACTCGTATTTGCGATAATTCCAATAGCATGTGAAGGCAGCATTAGCTTATTTGGTTGTAAATAAGAAAAGCATGACAATGTTACTGCTATAATACCTATAAATATTGTTGTATTCTGCCATGTTTCTCACTGACACATCCCCAATTTGTATACATCGGGTCTTCCCACAAGAAAGTCCCGAGCTTCCCACTTGTATTTACGACTTTGTGGTGGCGTTCATACGAGTTCAACTCGCGAATACGATCTTTCCGGCTATGACTTGAACGCACCATATGAGTGGATTATCATGAAGAGATTGTCCCGGGAGGACATCTGACAACACAACGGGAACGTCGATTAGCGGCGAATGCGTAAAAAAGCTCGCTTCAAAGACATGTTACACCAAAACTATGTTTATTCCTTGTTTTTCACTCTTCCCCAGAAGTGCATTCAAGATTGTACATTTGCACAGGCCAATGGGCTTGAAATAAAACATCCAACTTACGCATACAAATACCCTTATCCAGACACGTACTCGAAACTGAGTAAACTGTCCAAAGTCAGTCATAAATAAGATCATATAAAAAAGTTTCAGCTGAGAAAGTTGTGAGCTGTCGTGAGTTCTGGTTCCTTGAATATGGAAGGGTCTTGGTCAGACGACAATTTAAGCCTTTACAAGAGCAGCAAACTCTGTGAGATGAGACAAAGATGAGACAGAGATCAGACTACCATTAGTCAATTCTGCAAGTATGAATTATTCTCATTTCCAAATATCATCAAGGGTCGGCTATAGTGTTGATAAACGGCACTGCCACTCGTCATCCTAAACTATAGCTGGAACTGACACTTACATTATTAGGCCTTTTTGTGTGGTTGTGATATTCTTTTTTTTGACAACTTGTTAGCTATAGGCAAAACAATCTTACTGGCTAACATTAATAATTAATAATTCATTAATTTGTTTCAATATACCTCTTAAACGTCATATATTTATTTATAATTTGCATATGAATATAAATATATATTCATATATATCTTGTTGAAATTGCAAGAACAGATTGTGATAGTTTCGGTAGCATCCATGAGAACGGGTTGAAAATGTTATTGCGAAATTGTCTTTGTAAAGAAAAATGTAACATTTTATAAAAAATTGTATATGTGCAGAAAATGTATAATCATGATGAATATATTTTTTTTATTTGCATATGAAGTAAATATATTATATATGTAATATTTTTTATATCTACAATTAGAAATTTACATATTTAAAAATGTTGACTTGATAGCATCAGTAAAAATGGGTTTAAAATGTTATTTTCTTAAATTTATGTGTGGAAAACGTATAATGATTAATATTATTTTTTATTAAATCTACAATTAGGAATTTACATTTTTACTTTTTAACTTGATATCATCCTTGTTTGGAAATGTTATTGCGACTTTTTTTAATGAAAAATGTAAATGTATATGCGTGGAAGATGTATAGAAAAAAATAACAGTTGCATTTGAATAATTATATTTAAGTTAATATTAAAATATATACAATTAGTCATTTACTTTTCAATTTTTTTTATCTTTTTTCAAAATGACTATTTATTGTTATATCTGAACAAATAATTCATTCATTTGTTTCAGTATACCTCTTAAACGTCATTTATTTATAATTTGGATATGAATATAATATATATCTAAGTACATATTAAATATATATGTAAAATATTTTTACAATTAGATTGAATTTTTTTTTAATTGTTTTTTATTCATGTTGAGGCCATGCAGTATAAATGTGAAATCTGAACTATTGGCCTGACCGCTGCAATCTCACAGCAATTCATAACTATTTTACGTTTTGCTTAAAGGGATAGTTCACCCAAAAACTCAAAACTCTGTCATTATTTACTCCCCCTCAAGCGGGGACCCATTGACTCCCATAGTATTTGTTTTTCCTACTATGGAAATCAACTCTCTGGTTACCGACATTCTTATAATATCTTCCTTTGTGTTCAACAGAAGAGAGAAACTCACACAGGTTTGGAACAACATGACAGGAATTTCATTTTTGGGTGAACTACCCCTTTAATTGGTGGCTAATTATGTAGCATCTGTTTAAACGCAGTGACGGTTAAGTTTAGGGGCGGAGTTAGATGAAATAAGTTACTTTTTAAAAATAGTACCATTCAAACCGTACGTACGAATTCATTCGAGATCGCCACCTTGTAAAATAATGAGATCAGATTGGCCCGACCCAGTGTTGCCAATTTAGCGACTTTTTACACCCCTTAAGCGACTTTTTTTCGAAAAAGCGAACAGCTTCATTGGATATTCGCTATATATCGCATTAAAATACAGTATGAGAGGGGACGGATGTAAAGTGCCGACAGTTGGAGCGTTACGTCACCTAGCGACATTTACTGACTTTTCGAGCAGGCTTTAGCTGCTTTCCAGTGAAAATAGCTGGCAAACCAAGCTTTCTCCGCTACACCGAACTTTAATGTAAAGCACACAGGGGTTTAAGCTTCCTATCTCGACGTGAGTTCAACTCTTCTATATCTATAATTGACATTTTTTCATTTACCGTCGACTCCAAGCATGCCGTCACCGTCTTTGTCACCAGCAGCAAGGAAGGTCTTGGTCTCTTTGTCGGTCAGCGCCCTGGCGCCAGCCTTGAAGTTCTGCAGGAACAGCCTGAGGAAAGAGCACAGGCCTGCTGTGAAGCCCACAACTGACTTGCGTTGGACATTTGTTTCATGTAAACGATGTGTTAAGAGTCTCACTTCAGCTCCTCCTCCTCAATGAAGCCACTGTTGTCCTGGTCAATGATGAAGAAAGCCTTCTTGACATCGTCGGCGGACTTGGCTGACAGGCCGACCTTGGCGAAGAAGGACTTGTAGTCGAAGGAGTCGGCAGCTGCGGGGAGAGATGATTCATTTGATCAAACTGTTGTTATGGTAATTTTACGGTAACCCAGCTAAGTCTCAGAAGAACAAACATTGCTGCGAGGTTCTCTCGAATTTAGGAACAATCGTTATAGACTACTAGTGACGTTCTTCCAGGGTTGCCTGGTCTTTAACCCGAATGAACGTTCTTCTATTGATGTTTCCGGATACTGGTTACTTTAGCATTAGCACCAAAATGTTTTTAATGGAAACTTCTTCTGACATTTTTCAAATGGTACTACTTGTTTCAGAAGCTTCAGAGAACATTCAAAAGTAACGTTTGAAGAGTGATAACATTTTCCACTTAACTTTTGCAAAAAAAAAAAAGTCTGCACATCCTAAACATTCAGAAATAGCGTTTTCATATGTAAATGGGAACGTTTGCAAAACAGTCTTAGAACATAATTTTGTTAGCTGGGAAGGAAGCCACTATATATTACTTTTAAAGTAAAAAAAAAAAAATGCATGTGCTTTTTTACTGTTTTTCACATCTTAGAATGGCATCAAAAATACAGAAACGCTTTGTAGAAAAAAGTACAAAAAAAGTTCCATAAATAAATTCCATAGTATTTCTGTGTATATATACTGGCCACTTGTTGACTGTTTGTTCCCCCCTCAATATCCTGTCCAATTCATTTATGAAAAATGAATTATATTTATGAAAAATTTAATATATTCATTAATATTTTAGTTATGAAAAATAAATTCAACTTCTACAAAAAAACAACAACATTTTAAGCATTTAAGCAGAAGTCTTTAGATCATGTTTATAAATAACCCAAATATTTATTTATTTATCATGAGTCTGTATTTATTCATGTATGTCATTATTAAATCTTCAGATTAAATCTGGCCACTTGTTAACCCCCCCCCCCCCCCCCCCCCCCCCCCATTTTTAATAAATAATATAATATATTTGCTATAAATGGCTTTCTTTGGTGTTCTATCTGATATATATCTTATATTTTTACTAATTTGTTTCATTATACCTCTTCCACATCATTTGTTTGTTTTGGATTCCATAGGTCTATAATTATTCATGTATATCAAATCTTCAGATTAAATTTGGCCACTTTTCCCCCACCCAATTCTGTATTATATTTATTAAAATTTAGATATTTATTCATATTTTTGTTTTGAAAAAGAAATTCAACTCCTACTCAACGAATTTAGACATTTAGGCAGAAGTCTTTAGATCATGTTTCTAATATAATATAATATAATTAGTGTAGTATAATTGCTATAAATGACTTTCTTTTGTGTTTGTATCTGATATATGTATATATATATATCTTAAAATATATTAATTTCATTATGCCTCTTCAACATCATTTGTTTGTTTTGGATTTCATGTGATCCAAAAAAATTATTATATTAAATTTGGCCACTTGTTGAGTATATTTCTTAAAAAAAATCAATATGTATTAATATTTTTGTTTTGAAAAAGAAATTCAACTTCTACAAAACAAATTTTGTATTTGGATCATGTTTCTAAATAGCCCAAATAATATAATATAATTGTTATAAATCACTTTTAGTGTTATATCTGATAATATATATATTTTTTTCATTCTACCTCTTTGTTTGATTTGGATTTCATCATGTGTCTACATATAGGCTACTCGCATATATCAAATCTTCAGATTAAATTTCACTAATTGATAACAGCTAATCTCTTTAAAATCATCATCAGCAAGCGCTTCACAGATCACTAGTCCGTGTGCAACGGCAGGAAATATAATCCAGCCAGAAAACTGTTTGGCTCATCCCTTTTTATATCTGAATGCACACGAGCTACTGATGTCCACTCACGCCAGTCTGTCATCTAGTGTTTTCCCAGATGTGGGATCCCCTGTCCCAGTCTGAGAGTGCCACGTGATGTCTTACCCTGGCAGGCGGCGATGGCAGCATCCACATCAGCTGCGGCGAGCATACTGGCAACGGCCATTTCTCTGCTTCTGAGTAAAGCTGCAAAACAGTAAACTGAGTGAGAACAATTCACAAATGAGTTCAATAGCTTATGCAATGCATTAGAGAAAGAAACTCAATTCTGCATTCCCCCATCGGTGCCACACATGCAACTGCCCTGCTCTCCCTCTTTCACAACTGACAGTATATTCTGTAATAAATATTTTAGCAATTTAGTTATTTCAACTTATTTTTTTGTGTAGAGATAACTAGATTGTCCAGACAACAAGAAATTTTAAGTTTTCTTGTCCTCAACTTATCGAAATAAGTTAGTTAAACTAAAAACAACCCATGCAAAAAGATAACACAAAATAATGAGTTAAGTTTTTTTACAGTGTATTCACAACCCCCCTATGTCCTCTAGTTATCCTCAGAGTTCAAGCAATCGACATGTACTCTCCAATGTCTTATCGCCCGCATCCATCGCGGGACGTGTGACCCGGAGCACACATGATGCTCTCTCCGTTACCAGTACAGCATATTCCCATCATCATCAGTTCAGTGGCTGTCCCCTGCTGAGGAGCATGGATGTGTCAGATCCACTTGCACTCACCTTGCGCTCGTCTAAGGCGAGTGAAAAAGCGAAGGAGTTAGTCGAGGTGTGAGCGGCTCTGCCCCGGCTCCCGGCTTATATACCCCTCAGCCTCACCATTTACAGGAATTCGGGGCTCAGTAACGGATAGCTCTAGGTTTGGAATAGTGTCGAAAAAATGTGTCCAGTAGTCAAGTCGGACTATTTTTAGTTTCACAAACGGCGTTCAGAACCGCGTGTGGGACCCTATAGATCATGAGGCCCTCCCTCGGGTTGAGCTGCCGTCCCTTTCCCTGCCTGATCATCCCGATTTAAGATTTTGGGGAGACTCCCATCTGTTGATTGCTTTCATTCGTCCCCGATTGTTTGATTGAGGGGGATCGTGTTTCTCTTCCAGGTAGAAGCATGAGTTCATGTCACATGGAGATATATGATTGGTTTCAGTGTTCATGTTGAATTCTTCTTACACATGCATGAACCAGACTGTGCAATCTGAAACCTTCCTTACAATGTTAAACGCAGATCGAGTCATTGCTCATCTTTAAATTCATTTTTATTTATCATATCTTATCATGTTTTTATTTGATCTTATATCTCATCATATTTTATTATTTTATTTTTAATCTTATACTATATTTTATCATATCTTATATCTTATCTTGTTGTATTTTATTGTTTAATTTTTAATTATGTCTAATGTCTTATATTTTTTATTTTAATAAAAAATAATTTGATCATATCATATATATATATTTTTTTAATTTCAATTATATCTTATTTATTTTTATTTTTTTATATTATATTCTTATGTCTTATTTTATTGTATTTATATCTTATATTTTATCTGATCTTATCTTGTTTTATTTTTTATCTTATGTCATCATTATTTTATCTTATATATTGTCTTATCATATATTTTTTAAATTTGGTCTTAGGCTATATCTTATCTTATCGTATTTTATTATTTAATTGTATTTTTTATTTAATATTTCATCTTATCGCATTTTATTTTATCTTATTTTAAGAAGAACTTTATTCTTTTTAATATTTGTATTATTTATTATTTTTATCTTATATTTTAAATTATTTTATTTTTGTCTTATTTTTTCAATATTAGCCTACTTCTTATTATATATTTTTATTTTATTTTATATCTTTTCTTATTTTATTTGATCTAATCTTATATCTTATCATATTTAAATTTTTTTTGTCTTAAATCTTATTTTTTATTTTATCTTAATGCATTTTTATTTGATTTTTTATTTTATATTATATCGTATCTTATCATATATATATATATATATATATATATATATTATTTTACTGCTGTTATAGTGATATTTGTATTGTTGTTATGCCATCTGTTTCATAAACTTGAGAGGTATAAAAAGATCACATGAAGCAAAGCATTCCCGTACTTGGAGACTTCACTTTATTGAGCAGTTTCATCATTTCCTACGATCACTATAGTTACAGAAGCAAGTTTTTATTCAATTTTATTCCCAAACATGATTTGCACATTTTCTACAAAGACTTACTAAGCATATTTTAATTAGCAACTCATAAGCAACTTAATTAGCAACTTATAAAACACAAGAACGAACCACAGATAACACATGCAATGAGAGAATCTGGAAATGAAGTTCAAGTCGGTCCAGACAATCCCCCCGTTTTCAATTCAGCAGGCCGCAGAACTCTGAGGGGGGAAAGAGAGAGAGAAAAATAAGTGAACGGTCCAATCAGTTAAATCACTGGATACTGTCCCAGACAGCAACATAATCTGGTACGTGTTGAATCCACATGTGCCAGATGTGGCCCGGATCTGGCCCGGACACTATGTTGCTGCTGGGTGTCACATTATATTAAGTAGCCTAAATGAAGTCAATTAATATCAAAGTGTGGATGTTTCTCACATGCAAATCTAATCCTTCCTTCCCAGACAGAGTCAAACACCCTGCCGGAAAGACATTGCCTTGGGAGAAAGAGAATTCCCAGTCTTTCAGGATAATCAGTACATGTGTGTGTGTGTGTGTTAATGGGAGCAGAACTGGTCTGATTCTCATGTGTAGAGCTGATTAATTCCCCAGGCTAGCCGAGGAGCCAGACAGTGAAAGAGGAGCCCTGGTTTCTATAGGAGTACGGCTCCCCATGGGCCAGTTCAACCGCTGATTTGGCTTTATACCTTCCATCCCGATTTTGCCGTCTCCATCGCTGTCCCCAGCCGATAGGAGGGTGTTGGTCTCCGCCTCCGTGAGCTCTCTGGCCCCCGAGGAGAAGTTCTGGAGGAAGCGTCTGGAGACCCAAGCAAAGAACAGGGCTTCATGTTGTGCCGTCATACAATGTGCCTCACAATACAAACAAGGTTTAAAGAACGCTTTACTTCAGCTCCTCTTTTTCGATGAATCCACTCTTGTCCTGGTCCAGGGCCTTGAACACCTTCTCCCCATCGGAGGAGGCTTTACCCATCAGGCCCACTTGTTCAAAGAACGTCTTGTAGTGGAACGTTCCTGGGGCTGAAAGACAAAAATATGACAAACAAAATGGAATATTAAATATTAAGGCCTAAATTTCATGTAAACTTATAAACTTCCAAGTGGATTACACAGTTTGATCATAAACTTAGTGAGATAATTGTCAGTCATATATGAAATAATCAGGTTTAGCTATATATTTATCATCCATAAATTTGTTTTAATCTCATATATTTTAACTAATTGATTCTTGCTTGTTCCACAGCCATGATAAACCTGCAAATGTTAGTGCTGTTTCTGCATTAACCCATAAAATTAATTTTGTTGGTATAAATTAATGTGTTTAGGTTGATTCAGTGATGTTGTTTAAAGCCCTGCTCACACAAATAATGATACCTATAACTATAACTATATTAAAGCGTCCACACCAAAGTACAACATTGTTCTGTTTATGCTCGCGCTCTATAAAGCAGGATGGATTCTGATTGGCTGTCAATGATTTTATCGTTCATCAGCTGAAAAAAAAAAAATCGTTCGGAAAGTGATTCCAATGAAATCGTTACTCTGTGCCGTTTTCGCTATAGTGTGGACTGGACTCTAATTATTCTTTTATATTTAGAACGATTTTTAGAACTATATCTTTATCGTTATTGATACTTGTGAATTATATAATTCTGTTTATTCTAAACGCTCGCTGCAGTTTTGTTGCCTGCCTCTTTAAATGCTCGAGCTCGTCATAGCAGGATGGATTCTGATTGGCTGTCGTTAACATTATGCCGGTGGTGTGGACTCTACTATTCTCTATTCTCTACTTACTCTAATAGCCTAGTCCTTAAAACTATAGGCTAGTTAATTTAGATGTAACCATTTTAGGTTACAACAGTTGCATTAACTGCCAATACAGTTGTATTATAATTTATAAGTTATAATACATTTTTTAGTTTAAATGTTAATTTATAAGTTTTTTTTTTAAATATGCAAATGTGATAAAAAACAAATTAGTTAGGCTATATTAGCCTATATATTGCATTGGTTTGGACAACATGCTTTTGTGTGCCATTTTTATGAATATACAGTAAGCGTGATTGTGATCTGAGATGTGTATGGCTGGTGTGAGTGTGTATGGTCTTGGATACTCGGCACAAACACACTGGTATCCTGATGGCAACTGCTCCCCAGTCTCCGGCTGCCTGGATACCTGGATCTACCCATTCCCAATACACCCGTGTGTGTGTGTGTGTGTGTGTGGCATGGTATACATTATGGGGACACAATGCCCCCACAAAGATGGCAATATCCGAAATCCTTGTCCTTGTGGGGACACATTTTTTATATTATGTCCATGGAAAGTGCCTATAAAACTTGAAAACACAATGTGTGTGTGTGTGTGTGTGTGTCTCACCTTGACAAGCCTGGATAGCTGCAGTAATGTTGTCTTGTTTCAGGAGTCCTGCAAGTGCCATGATTCTTCCCCAAAAAGCTCTACAAATGCACATTACAATTAAAGAACCAGTGAAATACTGAATCAAGCATGATGAAATCTGCATGTGTTCGCTAAACGTGCATCATCATACGGTGGAATTTTTAGAAACTTTTCTGTCAAATTTGAATGTATACATGAACAACACTCACATAAATCTCTGAAATGATCTTGGAAAATGTGAGGATGCTATAAATCTCCGAACTGACCTTGGGAAAATGCAAGGATGCAATGCAATGAGAAATGTACCAACTGGCATCAACAAGTTCAATGTGGCGGTAAAATGAATGGGAAGAAGCAGGCATTACTAACCTTTGGACCGGGCGTAGAGGTGATGATGAATCCTCAGCTGTATCCTTTGGAACAATGAAGAGAGTCTCTCCTGCAGTTCTGGGACCTAAAGTGCACAGAGAGCGAGACACTCGTGCCCTTAAACCCACGGAGGCCTTCCTCACCACAGAACACCTCCCTCCTCATTAGCTGGTCCAAGCACATCGTTTCTGATCGCTATTGGCTTGAAATGCGTTTTTTTTGTTGTTGTTGCACATGCTCGTGAAGGACTCGGAGGTCATTGGCTCTGGTTTACTACTGAGACCTGGGACATGGTTTGCCTTTGTTCTAGTTTGTGAAGGATGCTTAGTTGTGAAACCAAATTACACACCACATATAGAAATAAAACAGAGAATCAGCGTAGAAAGGTTAATGATGATGAGCTGAGGTGGACTTCCTACTTGGAAAATAAATATTCAAATTGATTTCAAATACTAATATTTGTTTCTGTGAGGCATTTTTACACATGTAACACTACATGATAAAAGTATTTTCCAATCCCTTTAACTTTTAACATCATTTTCTGTCATTTCTACTCAACGATTTAACCTGATGACAGTGAAATATAGGATATAAAGAACTTTTCACTTTGATTGCACTTAAGCCTTTGCAGCAATTGAAAGTTGAAGCTTATTTCATATTTCATAGCTTTAACAATACTTAATGGCAAACTTTTGTTATAATTCAGAGGTTTTTCCTTTGTGTGTCTTCAAGTGTTTAATTATTTCAAGTTAAGCACCCCAGAAAAGTCACTGTAAACCCTAACACTCAAAATAATTAATTGTAATAATTAACTTAAATTAAACAAATTAGTTCAATCAAATTAACTTTTATGAGTATTGTTATTTTTTTTGTTTTATTAACTTGATTCTTTTAATTTAGACTAACATAAATTTAACTGAAACTGGGCTGGGATTTCTATTTCCCAGTATACTTTGCAATGACACAAGGGAGAGTAGCCTACAGTAAATGCTAAAATTAGGTTTTATATAATGTTCTGCTTACTTAAACTTTGAATTTGTTAACTTAAAAAATTTGAAGTAACTGATTGCCTCATTCTTTTGAGTTTTGCCAACTTATTCGGGTTTACAGTGATAACTTTTAAAGGCCACTCTTTTGGAAAATGTATATACTTACGCATTTGTGTGTGTGTGTGTGTGTGTGTGTTGGGACCTGTTGGGACATTTTTTGGTCACTGTGAGGAAAACGGCTCATAAACCATATTAAATTGTGTTTTTTGAATATGTATAAATCCAGTTTTCTGTAAGGGTTGTATTTTTAAAAAAATCATTATGTCTATGTAAAGTCCCCAAAAAACATGGAAAACTAACACGCGCGCGCGTGTGTGTGTGTGTGTGTGAGGTAATTTTTTTACAGAAAAATTAGAGAAACAAAACAATTTGTGTGAAAATGAGTAATAAAATAAAGTGGTGAGCACAGGACATAGGAGTGGGTTGCTAAAGTGATATAGATACAGTCATGTGAAAAAGAAAGTACACCCTTTTGAATATATCAGAAGCCCCAGGACATAATTAAAAAATCATCTGGGGCCGTATTCACACACATCAAGGCTAAAAGTATAGCACCTAACTTGCCGATTTAGGATAAACTCTTAAAAATAATGGGTGTGTCAGTCCTAATTTTATTGGCTGTTGTCGGCAAAGACACTGAACACCATTGAGGCAAGAGGCGATCGAGCCTTTTCAGGCAATAAATATAAATAGTTTTTATTTTAATCTCCGATGACATAACATAAAGGTGCATTTATGTATAGGTAATATGCATTGAATGATGGAGAATAAAATGTTGTAGTCAGGTTGAAAATAATGTCCCATCGTCTGCGCTGATAGTCTTGTTCGGGAGAACGGAGTTCAGTTCCGGCTCGTGGACCTTTCCCGATCCCGTTCCCCCTTTCTCTCTTCCACTTCGCTGCCTGTCTACTCACTGTCCTATCATAATATAAAAGGCAAAAATAAATCTTTAATAAATAAATAATTTAAAAACGAAAATAATGGCCGCTGTGGCTGTTGTTTTCACTAGTTCGAATAGAGTAAACGAGTAAAATAAGCATTTGGTGTGCTGTCCGAGGGGATTGAGGGAACCGAGCACTGAATTTAGCCCAGAGTTCCCGCCATATCCCCGGCTGGGCCAAGAGTGAGGAGTCGGGGTGGCGGAGCGATGCAGAAAACTGTCGAGGTAACTAGACGAGTCGCCTGTCTGTGTATGTGTAGTTAAACAAAAGCAATGAGCTGAATATTTGTTTAATTTGACACTTTATCCTACATTTTAAAATCTTTATTTGAATATGGCAACATGATACCTCGTTCTACAATATTTCTATGATCAAATCACTGACAGAAACCCCTCCCCTATCAGACACACATGTCTATGTGGTGTTTTTAATATGCTTTAAGACAACCCATGTGCAAACTCATAAGTCGACAGCATTGCTGAGTATTTTCTCCTTAAAACTGCAGTGAACCAAAGACAGTCTCAAAAACACGGTTTGAAATCGCTGGTGTTTCTGACGTCACAAACTACCTTGTAACCAATCAGATCAACGTGTGATCGTCAACCAGTGGATCTCTGAGCTGGGCTGCGTTCAAGTTCAAAACGGTGCGCAACGTTTTGCTACGGTTTCCGGGTTGAACGTCATGTTTCCTGGAAACGGCGTGCACCAGTGTGCAACGGGGTTTGAGATCTTTTCTTTTACTGTCTATGTTTGAGATACGTTTTCTCTTGTTTGGTGGGCGTGTCTAGCCTGGCATGCCAGACCTACATCAAGATGTTAGGTCTGGGAACTCTCCATTGACATGCCTCTCAATCCGAGGGGCGGGATAAACGGTTACCTTTCAAAATCCCTCTGCACGCAATAGGATAACGCTACAACCAACCAGAGCAACGAACGGTTGTGGATGAGTGAGTCCCATGCGTTTTTCCACCAGCGGAGCTAATTGATATATTAAACTTTTGCCGTATCAGGACGGCAAAAATCCGAACACATCTTCCTTTTTTAAGAATGACTTGAGTGACGTTCTCTTAACTCCAAGTCCTCCAGAGTCGCGGCCAAAGCCGATTCGAAAGACCGCTGCATCTTCATTGTTTTCAAGTAGCAGGGAAATCACATAGACAGTAAAAGAAATGGACAGAGCGATCTCATTGGAACTCAGTTGAGACAGTTGAAGCCCACTTTTAGCGATTTTTGAGAACTTCCGTTCCTGACGCGCAGACTCAGACCGACTCAAACTAAGCTTGATGACGTGAGCAACCTGTCTGACAGACGTTAATCTTCTAGTAGCTGTGCGTGAAAACTGCCAACGTTAATCTGGCAGAGACGGGGAACTTGAGCAAAGAGTTCTTTGGCGTGAGTGAGCAGGAGTAAGTATTCCGTTGCTTTTATGAACTCATTATCTATGGGCTTCTCCCTTGACGGGACGTCCCCCCGATTGCCTGCGAGCTTCTCCTCCTGTCTGTACGGTAACTTCTGTACAGCGCGACAGAGAGTCGAGTGGTTATGACGCAATCGTTAGCCTATTTTTACTAAATCTGTTTCTACGGGGCCATAGTGTAACATAGAAGGTAATGGAGCCCTTTATACATTGTCGTGTTTCTTTAGAAATAAATAATGGACAAATGGAGTCTTTAAACGCCTCAGATGTAAAGTTATTCGCTGTCAAAGTGACGCAAAAATGAATGGGAGTCAATGGAAATGCTAACGCAAGTGAAGTTCTGCTACAACATGGCGGCACCCGGCCGGCTTCAACTTCAGGTCGATGGATTACCCCCTTGGGAAATCACCAATGGAAATCACGCGGAACGGCATGAACTGTGCCGTCATTGTGTTAAGCCCGCCCGCCGACTCTTTACACGATGTGATTGGCCTGACCAGTTTTTGGTTTTTCCAGCTATGGAGAGTTGCTAGACCACACTGGCTGCGAAATAATTTTCGCTGCCGCTAGGGTGCGTCTAGATTTCTAGGCTAGGGCGTGTCAGAACTGCAGTCCAATCAGCAGCAACATGTATATAACGCACGAAAGTGAACTCGCACAATAGGTTCAAGGAAAGTAATTTACAAATGTGTTCGATGTAGCTCGGTATACGCAACAACTGAGGATATTAAAAGACATGTTTGTCGTAAGTTTTATAGTAAAGTATAGGATATCAACATAATGATGTAGTTGTTTATATTTTTGGCTTCATTGCAAGTGTATGACATTTGGTATAGAAATAAACAATGGTAATTAAGTGCTTTTCCTAAAAATGAGAAAGAAAATACAGGGTATTAAAACAGTATGAACTACAAATAAAGTCAGTAGCCTATGTGAGGCTAAATAGATGTGTTTTAATTGTGTGCTTCCATTTCAGTTTCCACAAATACCTTCACTCGATTGGGATGTTCTCTTGTGTTCTGGGCGGCAAGTGCAGTAACTGTAACATCGGGCATATTTTGTAAAAACATATTTATATCGACTTCATCATGCTCCGAAAATTCTTCACAAAGAACACAAAGATTGGCCTTCTCAGCTGCCATAGTTGCAACTCTTGCGTCATCAGAACAGTGTGTTCAACGCATCACCGTTTCTGTTTAAAAAACGTTGTGCAACGTTTTGTCGGGGATGAACGCAGCCCTGGTATGAGTGAGTGGAGGCGGGGCTCATTTGTA